CCATAGATTTGACATAAAAAATGTTGATATATTGTAATTGTTTTATATTTTATTTTTATTTCAAAGATTGTTTTATGTTTTATTATTTCTTGGCATTGAAATACTTTAATTACCGTAATTCATGAGCAAATAGATTTTTAACTATTTCATCTTTATACATTTTATCAATCTTATTATTAATATTTCGGAAACTAATAAAGATTCAAAGATAAAATTTTATATTCAGGAATCTTTCTTTGATCCCACAAAATTTTAGCTCATTTCGACAAGAATTGCATATTGTATTTTATTCTAAGATATTAATAAAAACTTTGGTATAACTAATATATAATTTTTACTAACTATTATAATTTTATTAACTATTATTTATTAACTAATACTTATTAACTATTATAATTTTAACATTAATTAATATTAAATACTGCTATTATTATCATTGCATATTCTATGGATTGTTATTGAGTGTGGGTTGATATATAATATAGTGATACTGATATATAGCATATTTTAAAGTAAATAGTATCTTCAAATAAAATCTGTTATCGTAACTTCAATTGCTTAAGAATAATTTTTATCTGCAATCATTTTAAATTATATTATGTTTTAAGATCTACTGACAGAATTATTAAGTTAAAACAAATTTTTTTCCCGACTATAGATAATTAACAATGACGACAATGATTATTTTCATTATTATTTTTTTAGCTATTTTATTTCAGAAAAATGTTAAATTTTCAAAGACCATATTTGATTGCTTAGTAGATATTCAACAGCATATAAATGTGTTGTCATATGGAGATAAAAAAGTATTAATTTGGTTTGAGCTTTATATTTTGAATCTTGTTAGGCTGAGTACATTAAAAGTACATCATGCGTGCCGATACTTATGGGATATCTTATAAATAACTAATAAGACTTATTATTGCTGCTATCGTCATATTATTGTGATTAGTTATTTAATATTTGACGATTATGACTGCTCTTACGAAGATAATATGTGTAAAAGAATTTAATATATTGTATTGAAATTTTTAGTTGAAAATTATTTGGAATAGGAAGATTCTTGTCATTTTATTTTAAAAAAATTCTTTTCTTTCTATGTTCTTATCGCTTTAATTTTCGAGATATTTGCAAAAAAATATTGCTATTATAAGTTTTATATTAAATTTATAAAAAAAATTTTATATTGCGTGTGTGTGTGAGTCTGCCATCATTTATTTATTATTCTTATAAGTATTCTTGCGGATGGCATCCAAAATATATATATTGGATAATAAATTGGTCAAAAATCTATTTGCTCATAAATATTTATTTATATTTAAATAAAATGTCTCAAATCTAATGTCGAGAGCATTATATAAATTCTTCAGATTCTTTGAATGACCGAAATGAAAAAAAAAATCGAAATTACAATGATAAATACCAAGAATGATGTTGATATTCATTATAACTTTGGTTATTTAATTTAATTTATCTAGGATTATTTTATATTTTAATTTTAATCAAGTTCGATATTAGATTTAAAACTTTTTAAGTGTAATATAATCCATAATAATAAATAAAAAATAATATATATAATAATTTTTTGCTAGTTCACTAATTATATATCTTAGTTGTTCATATTTATAAAAAATTGCATGCAGCTATGAATGTATAAAAAAAATTCTATGTAATAATAAGAACTTTTTTTTGCAAATATTTTGAAAACTAAGAGCAATAATATACGAAGACGATATATATTTAAAGAAAAAAGTTGTTCAAAATATTGATTTTTGCGATTCAAAAAGTATAAAAATTAATGAATAGGTTTCTCCTATTCTGAATTACAAAATCAAATCTTTTTTTAACATTTCGAAAATTAATAATCTGAAGTTAAAATTTTAGATTTATTTCTTCTTATTCAGTTCCTCTCTAATTTCATATTAATTGAAATATATATGCTTTTTAGAATATACGTATGTTTTTTAGAATATTTATTTTCATGAAAAAATATCTAATCTCTATATTATATTAATCTCTTTATTGTACATTTTAAAAACCGGGCATCATATGTTTATAAATACAATAGATAAACAACGATCGATATTGATATTTATATTTTCATAGATATATAAATATAGACAAAATTTAATATTAAAATTTTTTTGTTAATATTTCGGAAATTTTGAATTTGCAATAATTCGGATCACAACTATTTTTTAAAAAAATGCACAATTTTTCAATTTGTTATTCCAATAATCAAAATCATATACTAGCTGATCTTAAAACTGCATATTGACGTATAGACAAAATTCAATGATATAATATAAAAAATTTTTTATTAACTCAAAAAACTAACCGCTGTTATATAGAAAATAGAGAATTGTTCAAAATCATATTCTTTACATTATATTTTAAGATAATTAAAATCAATAAATAGAATTTTAATTGATTTTAAAAAATTGTTTTATCTTATGTTTGTTATTGATAAATATTAAATATGTAATATTTTATCCGTTATATATTTTGTCTGCTGCTGTAATATGTTTATAAACAATTGATAAATTCCACTTTACTGTTACATTTGCTACTACAGAAGATATAGAAGATTATATATAAATAAAATTGTAATAATACAATATTTCGCGAATATTTCAAGATTAAGCAGCGCTATAAAAAAAAATTATTTAAAATAACATTTTGAAAATCATCAAAATTTGTGAAGTATATCTTTTTTTTTCAAGTATATGATTAGTCAAAAGTTAGAATGAATTGATATATCATTGAGATAAGTTTGTCTTTAATATATATATATATATAATAATATATATAAAGAAAAACAAAGCTTTTTTTAAAAAAGAAAAAATATTGCACTAGTGTAATACACGTGTGAGACTTTATTTATTATGTTTACAAGCTTTTGCAAATATGATGTAAGTAGTTTTTAGAAGACTGTCCCGTAAATCGCGTATATTATACTTTTCAAGTATACAATTTTATCTTGGTCTATACCATTCTTATAACTTCCCGTCCATCAAGTAAAAAAAAATTTCTATGAGCCATGGCAATTATTTAGATCGCCAATGCATGGCATCGTAATGAATGTATCAAACATTTCATGAATGCATGAATGACATATTAATCGACTATAATTAGTGATTAAGAACCGCGTAAATTATCTCTTTCAAATTTTAACTTATAATCTTTCAAAACACGCTCAGGAGACTGATCTTCATTTGATTTCAAATATCGAACAATATCATTGACGAATAAGTATTTTGTTTCCTCGAAAATATTGTTTGCGATACAAATTATACTTTCTAATATGAGCAAACGTCCTCCATATGCGCATATATGCTCTTTTACTTTCATTTTTTTTTTCTCTCTTTTTTAACGAAAAATCGTCTTCTGCTCTTTTCTTAGATTATATTAATAATGAGAGCAGCGACGTTAAACGTTAATGACATGCGCGTACATATTTCAAATTAAAGAATTTATAGAATGAGAGAGTTGATAATTATAAGGACCAATTCGATAAAAAATAAGATGTGCAAAGATAAAAGATAGGAGCGATAGTAAAAAAATGATTCATTAGAAACCAGAAAGCATGCAAGCGAAAAAAAAGAAGAAGGAGCAAGAGATAAGAGAAAATGAAAGTTAAGAAAAAAAGAGAGCAAAGAAAGAGAAAGGACAAAATACGATGTTCACTGATGATTATCCGTCCATCATATAAATCTTCAAAGATCGTGAATAATATTATCGGTTTTAATTGAAAACTCATCAATATCAATGAATTTTGTTTGAAAGAACACCGTCTCTTAGAATATGACATGCATCGCGTGTATTGCTCTCTAAGCTAAAAAAATTTTGAGAAAGAAAAAAACAAATAAATGAGATAATTTACTTGTTTTTCGACGAATGCGAATATAAATATATATATAATATATATATATATATGTATATGCGATTGGATACACCGACGAATACCCATATTTTGCGGACCAGAGCCTACCGATTAGGCAATTTCTTCGATCGATGTTATATTATATCCTTGTACCTGTGTGCGTAGTAAAACCGCGCCGATTTTATTGTCTTTACTTGTTATTAGTGTATTAAACAATTTGCATATTGATTATTATTAGCAAAATAATTTCTATTATATGTACGGAAAATCGGGATACAACGAGAAATAAAGTCCGATCGAATTTATGATCCCGATTCTTCATCATATGATGCCCGTGTTAGCGATAATAATGACTATGACAAAACATTGATAATAATTGTTTCAATAATATAGTCATTAAACACTTTTTATTTCTATTTGAATTTCTATGTCTATACGTACACCCAATATATTTAAAAAAAATTATTATTTTATTAAAATTGTATTGCACATTCTCTATTTTGAAATTATTGATTAAGAGATTGATTGTGTTCACCGAATCATTATATTGATGCGTCAACAATATGCTCATTTTTTCTTTTCATTTAATTTCATATAATATATAATATATATTATAAATTATAAAATCAAGAAAAATATATCGAAAATAGATATTTGCTAAAACATCAAATTATGAATTTATTACATATTAAAATCAGATAAAAATCAAAACTTTTATTTTCAAAAATATCATATATATATATATTAGTAATATTTAAGAAAAAAACGCGAATATAAGTAATATCATATGCATGTAATTCGCTACAATAAAAATATAGCATTTTCTCATTTATCTAATTCATTTACTTACGCATTATATTATATGCATTATTTTTTTCTATAAAAACTTATCTTTTATATCATATATTCATATGTATCTATTTATAATATATATTTTTCTATGTGGGTAAGTATTATATAATTTTATATAAATTTTATATAATAAATTTGTATTGGTAATAATATTTAATTTTATATGTAATTTATGTAACTTATTTATTTATATAAGAATAGTTACGTAATACATAAAATTAAACATATTTACATATATATATACATGAAAATGTATGCGTATTAGATATTAATAGTTGCAACTGAATGTAAGACTAACCTCTTTGTTTCTTATAGATAAATAGTCAATGACATTGTTGAATAATTTCAAATTTTTTTTTTTGTATATAATAATTCATCAAGTATATTTAAACTAGTTGAATTTAATGCGGTAACGTGTAATCAGAAAAAAATACGAATTGCACGATAGAACAAAGGTGAAACGTATAAATAAAAATCACTAAACATTTAAGAAATATGAATCGTAATTTTGTGAAAGTTGAAAAATTATTTAAATATATTCAATGAATATGTATTTAAGATTATATCATTTCAAATTTTATGATACAATGAAGCTGAATTGATAAAAAAAGAAATGCAAACAAAATTAAAGATGTTTTTTTGTAAAATGAAATTGTTTGATTAAAGATTGTTTATGTTTTTTATATATTCATTTTTAAATTTGTTTCTGAATTGTTTTTTCTTTCTTTATTCATTTATATTAATAATCATGTCAAAACCTGATATGCCAAAACTTGTGACTGCACTTTTTTCCTTTAAAGGAAAAAATAATGATGAAGTATGTTTGATTTTCTATTATATCATATTATAATTTTTTTATAATTTGATTTTCTAAATACTGTTATATTTTTATCATAGTTATGTTTTAAAAAAGGAGATGTAATAACAATAACACAAACAGATGAAGAAGGCTGGTGGGAAGGCACATTGCATGACAAAACTGGCTGGTTTCCATCTAATTATGTCAAAGAATGTAGAGTTTCAGGTATTATGCATGAAATAAAATAATCTATTTTAATTCATCAAATAATCTGTTTATATTATATTTTTATTATTTTGTTATTTTATTTATTTTTATTTCATTTAAAGAAAACAATATTTCAACTATGAAGACTTCTCCTGAAAAAATTCTGCAAGAATCCCCTGTGCATCAAAAATTAAATCGAGATATTGTATTAAAGGATTTAATAGATTCTGAAAGAGTGAATGTAGCAGAATTGCAGGGTTTAATAAACAATTTTTTACATCCCCTAGAATCTGCTAATATGTAAGTTTATATAATATATAAAAAATATATAAAATATATGTATAAATATATAATAATAAATTATTTAATTATTGATTACTAATTTTATATATCTATTCATGTTATATGCATATTTATTTGTATATTATCTTTGTATATATGTAAATAATAATACTTTATTATAAATAATATAAATAATATAATACAAATAACTTTATTATAAATAATATTGAAAATTTCTAATATTAAAAATAAAACTTGTTTGTATATTAAATTTTCAGATTAGAAAAAGAAGAATATAAACAACTTTTAGGTAATATACATGAAGTTCTTGAAATACATCAACGATTATTATCTAACTTGGAAACAACTGTGACACAAGATTGCGTTTTGAGAGTTGGAAATCTGTTTCTAACATTAGCACCAAAATTAAAATCTATTCATATAACATATTGTGAAAATCATCCACAGGCTGTATGTATTTTAGACCAATATAGGTATGTTACAAAAATTAAAAGATTTTTACGATTATTTAGATTATTTAAATAAAAAAAAAAATAATAAAATTTTTTTTATATAGAGATGAATTGAATGATTTCATGGAACATAATGGAGCAATATCACCGGGTATATTAGTATTAACAACTAGTTTAAGTAAACCTTTTCGAAGATTGGACAAATATTCTGCTATGCTTCAAGAATTGGAAAGGTATACAGAAAAGAATCATCCTGATAGAGGCGACACTCAGCGCAGTATAGCTGTATATAGAGAAATAGCTGTAAGTTAAAGAATTTAATATTAATAAATTATATTAATTAATAATCTATATGTTGTATATTTAATTTTAAAAATGTTTGATATTTTTTGTAATACATATATTTTTATATTTTAATGTAATATATGTATTCTTGTTGTATAGGATCAATGTGTATCTATACGAAAACAACGTGAATTAGCACTTCAAGTTTTAACTAGTGGTATTAAAGGATGGGAGGGAGAAGAATTAAATTCTCTTGGAGAAATTCTTTATGTTGGCTCAGTCACTTTGGCAAATGGAACTACAAGTCTAGATCGTCGAGATAGATATTTTGTTCTTTTTCCAACAACTCTTTTAGTTCTCAGTATCAGTCCAAGAATGAGTTCTTTTGTTTATGAAGTATATTCAAAAATTTTTCTTTATATATTATATTTTATATTTTTTATTTTTCTTCAATTCATAAATATATATAAAAAAATTTACTTTTTCTATTTGTAGGGAAAACTTCCATTAACGGGTATTACCATTATTCAAATAGAAGATACAGATGAAATAAGAAATACTTTTGAAATTACAGGCAAGAGATATTATTTATTCATTTATCATTAAAACTATTCATTCTTTTCAAAATGAAATATTAAAATTAATATTTATAAAAATTAATAAAATTTCGATTTTATCTTAGGACCAATGATTGAGAATATACTCGTATTTTGTGCTACTAAAGAAGATCAACAGCGTTGGATTAAACTTTTAATACAAGAACAAACAACAAATAATAGTCTTGTAAAATCATCAATGACATCACGCGTGAGTCACAATTTACCTCCATATGTTCGTCTTTCAAGATATTTTGCAAAATTAGTCAAGAAAAAAATTATACGTCTTGAAATTCTGAAAAAACTGCTTTATTTGCAATATATTCTGAAACCAGATATGAGTAACGTAAAAATGCGAAAAACTAATATAACAACATATATTCTTCATCCAATGCAAACAAACAATCAAGATTGCTATTCTCAAAATTCAGAAAACATGGCTTTAAATAATATTAATAAAATGAAACATTCACCTGTTGAAACGACACAAACAATGTTGCGTAAGTCTACTCTGATACTTGAAGTGAAATATGCATTAGAAGATATTGATCTTAGTACTATAGGATTAGCACATGATTCATGTTTAACAAAATTTATATCAGCACAAAATGGCATATGTGAAATTAGCAAAAGTTTACCATTTATTGGCATTGAAAGTTCAATCAATAATTTTATGAATAATAATAATGTAAATAATAATTTTGTTGGTGGACAATCTCTTTACCGATCACGTTTTACTAATCTTATTCATTCATATCCAATTGGTTCTAATTTCCATCAAGATACATTTAACGAAATGGAAAAGCGCATAGATTCAATAAAGTGTTGGAAAGAAAAAGGATTCATTGATGAACAGATTACCAAAAATTCTATACATCATCCATCTATTTTTATATGTAATTCAAACATCAATAATTGTTGCCAATTTCAAACATATATACCAAAAAAAATATATCAAACATCTGATTTTCAAGCTAATGTAATTAGCGTTGGATCCTTAGATTCAGGAATGGTTGAGAATTATTGCTTGAATTCATCTGAAATTAATTCTTCTTGTAAATTATGCACATATGTTGATAATAAATATAATGTTGAACATCCTCTAAGAATTTATTCTAGCGAAAGTGAAAATGATGAAAGTAAATTTGAATATCAATGCATTTGTACATCACCTTTTGGTTCTACTCCCAGGAATAGCATTCATTTATGCAATTTATCGAAGCATATTGAAAATGTTCAGGATCTTTCAATATGCAAAACTAATATGAAAGATCACAATTCTAAGCATATTCTTACAACAAATAAAATACAAACACAAATAAATACAATTTATGTACCTTTGAATAAATATGAGCATAAAGTGCAAAAAAGATTTACGCAACCTATACCGTATATACATCAAACTATAATACAAAAAGTTGGAAGAAGAGTAATTCAGCCAAGTCATCCCATTGTTAAAAACAATTACAACGGAACGAATCAAATATATAAATCAGGACTATATGCCCATTGGTGGTTGAAGAAATTTATACCATTGTCTGGATGTTCAGATCAAGGCAAGCTTCCATGGCATGGCTGTTTTATTTTTTTTTCTCATTTAATTAATGTTTTTGCTTGTTTTAATACTAATTATATTTTTCTGAGCGCGCGTGACATATACACATACATATAGATAGATAGATAGATAGATAGATAGATAGATAGATAGATAGATAGATAGATAGATAGATAGATAGATAGATAGATAGATAGATAGATAGATAGGTAGATAGATAGATAGATAGATAGATAGATAAATAGATAGATAGATAGGTAGATAGAGAGAGAGAGAGAGAGAGAGAGAGAGAGAGAGAGAGAGAGAGAGAGAGAGAGAGAG